GTCGCCTTCATGCTTGCTCAAGATGAGAGTTCTGCGATGGAGTTAAATTCAAAGCAGTCTGCTCCTCAGATAAATAATGTTAAATTATTATTTTTATAAATGAATGTTTCTGTTCAGTGCCCTGAGACGACTTCTGTTGTGACTTGGCGCTGTAGAAATAAATTGAATTGCTAAGGCCAGTTAGCTGTGGCCGCCATCTTGAATCAGGTAAACACAAGTTACTCTGTTCCAGATGTAAAACCAGTGGTTGCTGATCGTAACACTGCCCCCGGTGGATGTAAAGTGGCAGACGCGTGCTCAGAATTAATTACGTCACATCCTGTGTCCACAGAAAGCAGGACTGGGACGAAGCGGTGCACTGGTACGACAGCGCCCTCAACATGACGGACTACGACGAGGGCGGAGAGTTCGACGGCACGCAGGACGAGCCTCGCTACTTACTGCTGGCCAGAGAGGCCGAGATGTACCAGGAGGGCGGCCACAACCTCACCGCAGACCCACAGAAAGCAGGTTCGGCTCCGTCTGCTGAATACAACTAATCGTAATATCCGCCTGGCTAAAACATCTCTCCTTTTGATGCAGGCGATCTGTTTACAGAAGCCGCAGAAGCTGCCATGGCAGACATGAAAGGTCGCCTGGCCAACCAGTACTACATGAAAGCCGAGGAGGCCTGGGCGCTGGTCGAGGAGTAACTGATGACGTAATTCATCCCTCGGAGGCTGTGTTTGATAGTCACTCTGGTTTTAACGCATTCAGCATTTACCCTGAATGATTACAGTTTACATATTTTTTACGACAGACTTTTTGCTGTTAGCAGTTTGTGTGTGTTTGCTGAGCCATCGACGATCAGACGTTTCTTTCTTCCAGTTTCTGTCTGTTGCTTTCTGACTTTAATCAGCTCAACTCATTCTCCATTTACTTCCCTGTTCCTTCATTACCGTTTTTTTTTAGGTGAATGTGGTTGTATAAAAGAAATAAAATAATAAGAACAAAGAGATTTGTTAATAAACTAAGGTTGGAGGAGTTTATGTAAAAATATGCAGAG